TAATCGGGAAAGTACTTGGTCTTCAATGCAGTCTGAGCTACTAAAAAGGTGTCGTTAAATAAACTGTAAGTAAGGAAAATAGTGGAAAATAAAATACAGGGCGTTCGTGATATATACAGATTACGGCGATATTCTTTTACTATCAACAACTTATACGCGTATTATTTGATACGAGTGTTTTAATGTGTGTTTCAAGGAGGACGAGAAGGGTGGGGCGGGAAGAATGCATGGGGGAAATGAGAAATACATATAGCACTTAGGCCTAAATTTAAAAAAAACCGGAAAGGGAAAAGGTCGCACTTTGGCGCTGTTTATGGAAATAATTGCTCTTATCATTTAGAAGCGTACAAAACCTATAACTACAAACTGCAAGAGTATGGGGCACATAGTTACCATCGGGCTTGAAAGGATCCAAGACTGTCTTAAAAGTAGCCTACAAGATATGAAGGGTACTCGGTTAGTCAGGATACCGTACAATTACGGGCTGTTGTGAACACGATAATGAAATTTTGTGTTCCATAAAAGCTGAGGATGTTGTTGGCCAGTTAAGATACTTTCAGATTCTCAAGAAGGCATCTGCCTAAAACAATTAGTTTTACTTAAACTAGCATAGATTTGTGAAAAGGAATGTTATCCTCAAAATTACAAACTTTGATTTTGATAGGACTGACTGCATGGCATGTACACAATTATAACCTGCAGAGATTCCAAGATCCGTCTACGATACAGAATTGGTACAGGCGTTTCTATATGCCACTTTCACATTCCGTTGTTAACGCTATGAATTTCACATTGAGATAGGAAGTTGGTTTTTAGGTACTTAACTATTGCTCCCATTATGGTTATTTCTAGTTTCCAAACTTTCCTTCCGAACTATTACAATTGGTAAATCTGCTAAGTAATTGAATATCCTACTTCTTCGACTGGTAAGTAGATCATGAAATAAACAGCTAAGACTTCTTTGTAAAAGATGTGAGTCCGCAACGTCGCTTTAATACTTCTCCTACCTTAATTACAGTATCTCCTTCATATCGTGAAAACAGTTTTCACAAACGAGACCATGGCGACCGATCCATTGGAGTATAACCGTCTGTGGGAGAAAATGGCACTAGATAATTTCAGCAGACCAAGTTATGATTATAACCATTAGCTACATGTAGAGCGGAGAAAAACTATTAGGGGACATCTGGGCAATATGCCACTAAGAAGAAGTAGATTAGGGTAGTTTTGTCTTATTTTTACTTCTTAACGAAAGAAAGAAAGTCGACGAATAAAATCACCATATTCTTTCTGTTTGAAGATTTCTTGCCTTCTGGGTTGTTGCCCCGTGTAGTCTGGTAGATGTCCACTAACGTTTCAGAGGTCCCACTTTCAAATTTCGAACAAGTTGACTTTTCTTTTAAAAAATTTGGTGTGGACATTATGCCATTGCAGTCCATCGTAACCTCCAATCTTGTATTTTTTCAAAATTTCCTTCAATTGATAATAACATGGTGGACAGGCAAGAACCTGTGATGTGCTAGCGACACTAACGCCTCTTAATAGGATGTAGGGTCCTGAAATTGTTTATTATGGTAGATAATAAAATACGTGCAATTTTTGTTTAAATATGTTTATATGCTTTTTGTAGGCTGTAAAAGAACAACATGGAAGCCGTACGAAAATTGCTTTCAAACTTTCAGTTTGACAGCGATGGGCCTAATTTGACACTTGGTATGCTAATATATCATTACACTGTACCTACAAATTATTACTCTAAACTATAACATATGCTTAAAATATGGTTTATAAGTCAACAATCATAACTATCGTGACGGTGGAATCTTTGAGGTTAGGTTAGGTGAATTAAACATACACAGAATTTGTGCATAAGCAAGTTTATTAAAAAAAAACCTTATAAAATTAACAAGTTTTTACATTTTATAACATGTTTACAAGCAGTGCAATCCAAGCAATAATTAACATTGTAACCCCAAGTTAAATTCGATCGTTTGATCATCTGAGTACAATCCTGAAACTCTAATTTATGACCTACACTGCATTTCATTATCTAGATCGGTGGTTTTCACCCGTGGCCCGCCGATATATTATGCGCGGCCCGCGTACGCTTTTTGTATCATTGTATCATTCAGTACGTACGAGTACAATAAAAGTTTATAGACAAAGTTAAATATTTAATTTTAAGTGAATAATTAATAATAACAACCAATCACACAAAACTGATAAAATAAAATTTTGAGTATGCTGCTGTGCGAACCTGTTTACAAAACGAAGTAATGTTTTAATGCAGTGGCGTACAATTTTAGTACATTGTCGTCGTTTATAACCTGGTGGCCCGTTCCGCTTTAGGTTAACCTTCCGTCTACGGCCGCTCTGCAAGCGTGTCGCTTTTTTTTTTGGGGGGGGGTATTAGCGGGATGCATATTGTCGCTGGAAGCAAATCACAGTCTCAATGTAGATGGTATCCACTGCGTTTCAGGTGGTATGCTATTTTGTCACAGTGCAAGTAGAAATGATGTCTTTCTTAAAGTTATCGAGAAACTAGCCCATGAATATTTGTATAAATGACTTGCAAAAATGCATAAACTCAACCATCTTTCTTGTTTCTTTAGCAGCTTGTAGTCTTTCCTCAAAGCTACAAAATGGGTTTGTAAATCGTGGTTTGTATCCCACTTTGGCCTTCTACAGCGCTGATCATAACTTTCGTGTAGTGTAGTGTAGTGTAGTGTTGCTTGAGATAAGCTACATAAGTCCTCGCGGTGTTGATTTTGCTTGCTCCGCTAGCGGAATGCTCAGAGGTAGACTGGTGAGCATTTTTTGCTGCGGCAGTGTGCTTAAGGTTTCGCTCAGTATACCGCCCAACCTCCGAGCAAGCCAATTGCAGTGCGGCCTTAGTTGTACGATCTTGGTACCTTTTAAAACAGATTTGGGTTTCCCCAAATCTCTCTCTCTCCCGCTCAGTGCATTAACATGCCCTTTGGTATTCACATTCCCTCAAGTTTTTGACGTAAATACGTCTATACGGAAGGGTCATTCGGCAAAAATGTGTAACGAAAAAGTGACAGGAAAATGTGTAACGAAAATTTGTAAGATCCGTATCAACAAATCGACAACAATGTTTAGCTTGCGTGCATTGTTATGTTACCTAGGAAACGCCATCTGTTTACTTTCGTTATTGCGGCAAGAGCTGAGCTGTGAATCGTTTGTAGAAGTGTGTCGTGGACTAGGTAATTTTGTGCTGTTAAAAATGTTTTACAATATCACAAGTACTTATCTTATATAAGAATTATTAAGATATCTATTGCTAAAGCGTGTATAAAGAAAATATTTAGAATGAAGCCACTATATAAACTCCTTACTGAATAGACGTATTTACGTCAAATTCTCCGGAACCGTGGTTCCACTGTAACTTTTTAGGCTATCTTTCTTATTTTTAATTTAGATTGAAAATTCCAAGGTTAATTCTTTCTAACTTATCAGTGGTTCTATATAAAGCGTGCAGAATTTTGTTATATTTTTAAAGTCTCCTGACGCAATTCCACTACAGAGCTGCCATCTGTACAGTTGAAGTACTGCTCTTTTGCGAGCAGATGGGGCAATAATTTCGCTGTCTATATACCTATGTGTCGCTAGTAGTCGGTCAAGTTATTCGGAGCCCGTTAACACGTGCTAGGGTATGTAGATTCTATGCATGTTTGAGTCCTAGTCTGCTCTTTGCCCTGTTTGGTAAATTTTAAATGTGTGTTGAATCGAAGTCACGTTTAGCATAAAAACGTACATATAGTTTTTTGATCTTGTCGTGGACGTGATACGGTAAAGGGAAACGTAAGAAAATACATACATACATCTTTATTACATTCCATGGATCCATAAGTTGGATGAAAATAGGATGTAGAATAAGTCATAATAATACAATGTATGTTATAAAAATACAAGTCATACTATTATATAAATGTCCTTGTCAATGTCTGAAATATTTTATGGTTTAGATTTCACGACTGAAAGTGGGCTGTCATAACCAAGAACCACAATTTGTTTCATGAAGCTTTTTTAAATTATGATACCACCGAATCTTTTGTACTTCTGAGACTGTTGATTTCTCAATCTGTTTCTTTTCAGGTCGCTGTTTAGTCGGTGCAGGCCTCGAAGCTTTTGCCTATAATCTGCAATCACATTGGAGAGGAAGGTGTAAGTTCATGTTTTATTTTTGTGAACAGGGCCAAGGTTTTACGTGATGTCTAGTCAGAGTTTTGCTCTAGCATCTCTTACTGCTACTTACACAGATTCTGAAGGTGAAGAGGATGCACTGGAGGATGATAATGAGAAATCACCAAATGATGATAGTAGTCTAAATTCTAACACACCTAATATTGTAACACCACCAATTCCTTCAATACCTCCACGGTTAGTCTCATACCATGATGACACTGTTATTTCTGATGATGAAGGCGTTCCAGGTGAAGGTTCTGAACAAGAAAGACAAAAGGCTGTAGGCAATGAAGGGGATACCCCAGATGGTGTTCATCTTCCTCCTGAACCAACAGGGCTTTGTTCAACTTCGCTTCAAGATAAGATAAATCGTTTGTATGAGAAGATGGAATCAAATGGATTGGACATGAATTATGTGATCCAGCAGCGCAAAGATTTCCGTAATCCAAGCATTTATGAGAAACTGATTCAGTTCTGTAGTATTAATGAATTTGGTACCAATTATCCAGCCCAGACTTATGATCCTTTACGATGGGGAAAAGAATCATTTTATGAAGAACTAGCTCGTGTTCAGAAAACTGAAATGGATCGACGCGAGAAAGAACGAAAAGATAAAACAAAAGTGGAATTTGTATCAGGTACAGCTAAACGCCCAGGTAGTGGTTCAGGAGCAGAAGATGATACAAAGCGTCGGAAATCAAAATGGGATCAGGTTGGAACAATGGTAGCATCTAACATGGCTGGAGGTGCCCAGGCTGGTCATATACTGAAACCAGCTGGACTGCTACAGCAACCATCCCTGACCACAAGTGTCACAGGTACAAAGGGGACAGTTATATCAGCATTTGGCTCACTTCCCAAGAAACCACGAATTTGATGTGGTTTAGAAAGTGTGTGAATTAATGTGATCATGAAGTTTATCATTTGTTATATCTGTTATGATTTATGGAAAAACAGACACATCTGGTCTAGGAGCATTCTAGAGACTATAATACAGGTTTACCCCAATTTATGCTATTAGTTTTCTTTGTTGAACACAGCATAACTCTAAAACATACAAATCAGCATTAAGGATTTGAGGTTCTCACAGCAGGGAGTGTGAAGATGGCTGTCTTTTGGGTTGTAATGAAGTGTGGTCCAGTAGGAATTCTTTCATCATGAGTATGATGATGGAGGCAGCAAACTTTTGGCACTACAACTCAGAAGACAGCTATCATTATGTTAATCAACATTTGTGTACATTCTCAGCATTAGAAATTGTGGATTCATATCTTAAGTGGATGATTTTCAGCAATAAATATGGTTATTATAATAATTTGGCGTTATTTGGAAGTGAAATAGCATTGTAGTAATGCACTAAAATTATTTAAGCATATAAATGTGGTATTCAATTACAAGTTTACATTTAAACACTTTTTTTACCATGTGTAGTACATTCTGCTGCTAATGTGTGTGAATCTCCATGCTTTAGATCAAGATATAAGAAAGACCTATGAATGAGGTACAGAATGCAGAATAAGTAATATTTGTGATATACTGCATGTAAATAGGAGTTGTTCCTAAGAATGAAAACTGTATATACACAAAATATGTTATTTATGGCATACCTGTGTTTATAATTCAAGAAAGAACATTAATAATGTTACAAAATGTAACTTATAATGACTTTCCAATGGTATAGACTGCAGACTACTGTTCTTTTAAAAATTTATGTCAGTGAGACTGATTCTTATAGCTTTTATGTTTTTAGTCTACTTTGAATTATGATTTCCTATGTTACAGTTTCTCTGTATAAGTTGCACAATACAATACTGGAAAGAAAAACTAAATAATCAGTTTTGAGTTCATTTGTGTATGAATGAACTGTGCAGACATTTTATAGATGAAAATGAGTTTACAGGAAGATACAAGTCAAAGTTTTCCCTCATATGAAGTGAGAAACATAGCTAAACTTAAATTAAAATTATACATAAAAGTTTATAAATGTCATCAACACAACCATATCATTGTTTATTTCATTTAAGTTAGTAAGATGTTAGAATTTTTATGTTTCAATAGTCTGTCATCATTGGGTGCTTAGGTATATTAAATGTCATCAAAACATACTAAAATGTATAATTTACATGGTGGTTGGGGTGTTATGGATTTATACTTACAAATTAAGAGATAAACTACCAAAAGTAATCATTAATAAAATGAATTAAAGTGTGGATATCTTAAAGAGACAGAGTTAATAAAATCAAATATAATAAACTAACTAACTAACTAGATGGCTTACCGAACCAAAAGGTTCATCACCGAATTAACCAAAGCCCTTCACCGGATCCTGTCCTGTGCCAACAAAATCCAGTCTTTTTCAACTCCTGTCTCCCATAGATCTCACCTGAGATTATCCTCCCATCTACATCTAGATCTCTACAGTGATCTCTCTCCCTCAGGCTTCCCGGCCAATATCCGGTGCACACCTCTTGCTCTGCCCATCTCATTATTCTTGTCTTAATCACCCTGACAATATTGGGGGAGGAGTATACATTTTTAAGCTCATCATTATGCAGTTTTATCCGTACCCCATTGTCTTCTCTCCTGGGCCCAAATATCCTCCTCAACACCCAATTCTCAAACACCTGCAATCTGTATTCCTCCCTCAGAGTGAGAGACCATGTTTCGCACCCATGCAAATGGCATCATTCTGCACATCATTAATTATTCAGTAATAGCGGCAGCCGCTAGTTGTCGATAGTTACATCCTGTTAACTCCCTGAGAAGAATCAAGTGCCTACCTAGGAGCTGAGTTACTGTCACTGAGCAGCTATAGTATGTTGCTTCTTGTGATAATATCCTTAACATATACTGTCCACAGACCAGGAGAAAAGCCCTGCGGGGGAAATGTTTACTATCAAGTGGACTAGAGGGCTGCTATTGGTGGTAAGTGTGATACGTCAGAGTTTTACACTACTACACACAGACTGAAAGCATCAAGCAGTTAAGAGTAGCGTGTAATTAATGCACCTCTAATGTGTTCTGTGGGTGTTGTGATAATATTCTAGATCACTGTGCCACTGTGAGGTAATCTTAAAGCTGTACCCATTAGAACATATGAAAGCCTGTTGTCTGTTGTTCGTTCAGTGGTTGTGGAACGAATGCTTTTAGGATGGGTTGTCACTCAACGCGAAATCTTGCGCATGCGCGTATATCACATTCCTAGCAGGGATTTTCTCCTGGTCTGTGGACTGTATTTTTAAGATATTTCTAACTTGGCCATGCTCTTGGGTGGTATTCATTTTAATCTTTGACGTTACCAGTTTTGCTGACTTCTTTTTTAAAGTCCTGGAATATATCAGGTTAATACTTTAAGACCGGACATTGTTAGTGACTGAAAGATTCTGCCCAGCATTTTGGCTTTGTGAAATTGAAACACATTAAGATGACTTCTCTTAGTAAGATTTGAAGTTCTCATAGTGGCAAGTATAAAATGGTTGGTATGGTAGAAATTTACTGACATTTTCTTTGATGGAGGCAACAAGTACCTCTGAAATGTGGGTAAACTTCTACCAGAATATATGGCAGTACAACCCAGAAAACAGCCATCTTCAACAGATCTCTTTATTCTGTTTCAGTTATTTCACCCATAGGTAAGAAGGCTAATGAATAGGAAATAACATCTGTCTTCTACATTTAGATGAAAACCTGTTATTATATAGTCCAAGACTGGTAAGTTTGTCTCTGGAAGGAAGCAGGGTGTCGAAGGATGAGGAGTGCGAGGTGGTTGACCACAGGTTGCAACCACAATGACTACTATCAGTGCAAAACACATTTACCTGCTCATTCTCAGAAGGATATAAGACCTGTCTGTACTTGGAATCGATGGTTTTTGAACTGAGATATCACTGCACAATACATACAGCATAACTACCTTACCTACCCCAAATTTAAGATATTTCTAACTTGGCCATGCTCTTGGGTGGTATTCATTTTAATCTTTGACGTTACCAGTTTTGCTGACTTCTTTTTTAAAGTCCTGGAATATATCAGGTTAATACTTTAAGACCGGACATTGTTAGTGACTGAAAGATTCTGCCCAGCATTTTGGCTTTGTGAAATTGAAACACATTAAGATGACTTCTCTTAGTAAGATTTGAAGTTCTCATAGTGGCAAGTATAAAATGGTTGGTATGGTAGAAATTTACTGACATTTTCTTTGATGGAGGCAACAAGTACCTCTGAAATGTGGGTAAACTTCTACCAGAATATATGGCAGTACAACCCAGAAAACAGCCATCTTCAACAGATCTCTTTATTCTGTTTCAGTTATTTCACCCATAGGTAAGAAGGCTAATGAATAGGAAATAACATCTGTCTTCTACATTTAGATGAAAACCTGTTATTATATAGTCCAAGACTGGTAAGTTTGTCTCTGGAAGGAAGCAGGGTGTCGAAGGATGAGGAGTGCGAGGTGGTTGACCACAGGTTGCAACCACAATGACTACTATCAGTGCAAAACACATTTACCTGCTCATTCTCAGAAGGATATAAGACCTGACTGTACTTGGAATCGATGGTTTTTGAACTGAGATATCACTGCACAATACATACAGCATAACTACCTTACCTACCCCAAATGCTGCATGCCTGCTTACGTCCCTCGCCCTTCTTCCCTTCAAATACGGCCATACTTACCAGTACCAGTTGTTTTGTGCGGTTTAAAATGTGGTTTATTATATTGCAGGAAGACATTAAGTTTTGTATAATCAGGTGGGATCATTTGAATGGAAGCATTAGTCATTCATTTTCACAAGACATTGCTTTCTAATATTTTTAGCCAAGGAGGTGAAGTGAATGGACAGATTAGGATATTGAATGAAAGGAACTGTGTTGATTTACACATGTCAATGTTGTGAAAGTAATTAAATCCAGGAGGTTATGATAGGTTGGGTATAGAGTTCACATGGTGAATGTGACAAATGCTTATAGAACTTTGGTGGAGCAACAACTTTGAAGACCATGAAGTACAAAAAAATGGATGCACAAATCTTCGTAGGGCATTCTTTATTATTATAGTGTTTTACCATCACTTGGTACAAAAAATATATCAATACAAATATAACTATATGGTTGTTGCAGCTGTCTACATAAATATTTACAGTATTTAATAATTTTTAAATTTAAGTAGAAGTGAAATTAAAGATAATCTCTCAATGCTGGCTTAACTACTTTTGTATTATGATTTAAACCTTTAATGCTAGATGGAAATTTATTGCATAATTTGATCCCATCATAGTAAGTATTGAACCTTGAGGAACTCCATGTTTTACAACGCCCGAATTTGATTCCTATAATTTGAATTAGGAGATTTAATTTACATAATTTGTTTTCCGTGTTTAAATCATTACTCTGCTTTAATGCCAAATGATGTTATTTATTTAGCCATGGAACATTTCATTTCCGCCATTATGTCGCCTGGTCTGACAGCGTCCGTTGCCATGGTAACCATCGGTCTGCCATCTATTAGATGTATTTTAAGTTATATTCGTGACGTATACATCCGGGACTCTGAATATTAAAAATGGCGGCCGTCACCAATGGACGGAGTGTGATGGATCCGCAAGTAGCAACGCAGAATACAGTGGTGGATCGGTTGAAGTTATTACATCCAATGGTTAATGAAGAAGAAACTCCTTTACCAAGATCCTGGAGTCCCAAGGATAAATATAACTACATAGGATTGTCGCAGAATAATTTGAGAGTTCATTATAAAGGTAAGTAAGAGCCAGTCTTGGTTATGGATATAGAAGGATGTCGCAGTTGGCACCTACATTGCATTGTGTTCACTATATTTATACGTTTTGTATCGACTCTTTGGAATGAGTGTTATTTGAAAGGGATGGAATGCATTGTAATTCTACAATGTCATCGACCACAGCACTGGCAACTGGTAAGGTCTCCAAACAAAGAAATCAGCTGATCGGTTTGTGTAATGACGTAAGTGGAAGACCTCTGCTTTGGCCTCGGGATTGTAAATGCGCAGTGAAAAGTTTATGTTTAGTATACAGGGTCGAAGAAAGTACGGTGGTTCTTGTATTTTGACACTTGACGGTTATTCATGTTTGACAAGTTTACTAATTATACCGATTGTAATGGAAAGATCGGTGTAGACTGCAGTATTTGTGCAGGTTTCGTGTATGTTTTGTGTTTCTTACAAGGACAGAAAGTTTTACCTGACGTCGATGTCCAGTGGTTAGCACTCGTATATCGTATTTGTGAGGTCCCAGGTTCAAATCTTGGCTCGGAGACTACGTGCTATGATGATTTTCGTAGTGTTCTTCCCTCCGTGCAGATACTGAGTTATGACCTTAAATTATGGTTTGATTGCTTCCTTTCGACTCCTATCCAATTCATTATTGAGTAACCATTCCAACATTGGATTCTATGTAATGCTTATTTCCTGAACTGTAACAATTGTAAACTGTACCTTTAGCTTTAGTTTGGTTTTGTGGTTGATGTATTTTTAGGTAGTTCATTTAAATGGTGAACATTTCAGTAAGCAGTGGTGATTAAAGGTAAAGTGGGTTATGAGATTAGATTGTAAATTAGGTGGGTGCCTAACCAACCTTTGCACTGTGACCATTTCTTGATATTTTGTGCATTTTCATTTACTTAATTAACTAGAATCCCCATACCTTCCCTGAAGTACAGTGTCCTACATATGAATATCTCAGTGGAAACTGTGTGCTAAAGAGCTCTTATGTTGGTTGCCATAATCACAGTATCTTTATAGGTTACAGATCTGATAGAGTACCTGTTTTTTTTTGTTTTTCTAGGGCTAACCTCTTTAACAGGGTTCTGCCCAAAGACCTGGGCCTTTTAGGCACCTTGATTAGGGCCTCCCTAGACTTAGGTAGTGCCATGTATCCATGTACTACTTTGACTCATCCTGGTTCTAACCTTCTTCCTGGCACTTCCAACACACTTGGTCTTTGCCTGATGAAATCTGCTTATAGAACAGTTGCCTTCTTAGAATTACTTGGTGGATTGGTACTGTCAGCTCCCCAAGGTGTTATTCCAGAACTGCTGGCTACGTGTTGAGAGGAATCAACTTTCAAATGGAAGTTCTTTATAAGATAGCTCTTTTGTTGGTGGCTATAAATAAGGCCTCACTATAGGTCCTTGGCCTTACAGAGTCTTATAGAGGGGATTGAACTCTTTAGTTGGGGTGCTGCCCTTTGAC